CACTCCAGGAGTCTCCTGGATTGCCTACATCACATCATGGAAGCTCATTTATGTGCCTATTATCATATGATTCTACTTCCAGATGATGTGGAAGAGGAACACATAATTTTCCACTTAATTCTACTTAAACTAAGTCCTGCCTATAAGCCTCAACTATGGGGGAAGGATGTAGAGGGGAACATGGGAAAAGACATCAGTTGATGAAAGCTTGGAGTTAAGTCTGCAGAAGCAGTATCCTCCTTTCAAAGAGTTAACCTCTTCCTTCTCCTTCACTTTAACTTAGTGAATGAGAGAGGAGGAAAGGAATCCTCCTCTACCATCAGGGCTCTAGGGCCTGGTGCTGATACTCATGGAATATATAACTCGGTGACTTCCAGCAAACAGGATGTAGTTAAGTACAGTATCCCCATTAATGAAGGTTACTTCAACATGTTCTTACAGGATTCAGAAATTACATACTTGCCTAAAAAGGCATGGACAGAACATAAAAAGTGGCTTACCTGAAAAGTCAAGAGAAGCAGTGCAACAAATATATATATATTTATTCTTATTTCTTTTCTTTTTTAAATAACAGTGGCAGGATAATTGCAAATACCTTTTTTTGCCAAGTATGTGCTTTTGCTTAATGATTTCGCATTCGGGGTGATACACAACTACAGTTTCTTTTTTTTCCATTGGGTTCTTCCTAGGATTAAGAGTGACTAGGTATTCAGAGCTACTACAAACTTATTAGGTGTGTAACACAGTGAACTACTTCACAGTCATAAACATAATCCATAAAGCAAACACAGGGAGACTGTTTTGTTCACAGCCGTAGTTGAGAAGAAGCCTGATCTTTTTTCCTTTTTGGCATCTTGCTATTTCAGTTTAATGGACTGTGTTCTCCATTGTTACCCTTTCAAAAAAGCAATTATAAAAATGACTTAATAAAAACATACTTTCATATTTCAATGCAGTTTGTACAGCAGTTTCTCAAAGACTATTCTAGAAAAGTCAACTCCGCTTATTCAACCTAATATAAGAAGGTCAAGTATGGAAAATTAGAGTAACAAAACAGTATAGTAAAAATAAGAATGTCTGTAGTATGTAGTAGTTAGTTGTAAACAACTGAAAGAAAGAAAAAAAACCTCACTAGAAATTATAAAATAGTCCAAGCTACATAGCTGCTATATATTTGTAGCAGGCATGTTTTCTATTACAGCCTTGATTTTTATTAAGTTACATTTTTTAAAATAACTTAGAACAATAATGAGTTTGCCTACCAGCAGCCAACCCAAAAACATAATGGAAAAAGAAAAAAAAAAACATAGCCACCATTACAGTGGTGGGGAGAAGCTCTCCCCAGCAGCCAATTTGTTGTGTCCAGTTCTTCCCCTTCTTAGCAATCTTGATCAGGCAAAGTTCCTGGCTATATTCAGCTTATTAGGAATGGAAGTTCTTCAGTGCAGACTTTTGGGTTTCACTGAAAGGAATGGTGACTTTTTTCCCCCTCTGTAATCTACTGCCAACTCTTCAGAGTCCTTGTAGCAGCAATCTGCAGCAAAAGGAAGGGGAAAAATATTCCATCCAGGTGAGAAATGATCCACAGGTGGCATCTTGAGCTCTTTGAAGGATTCTGTCAGCACTGTCCTCAACCAATACTTGATTGTAAGTATTGTAAGTGGGCTGTGATTTTCTCTCATCTGTCAGATGTGAGAAGCTGCCTGTTTGTTCTTGAGTTAACTTGTTTCATCTTTGCTGACACAATATCACAACTGACTGCACATTTTTCATCACTTTGAATGCCACTTGGTGTACAGAAGAATAAACCAAGCTATGCCCCTTGGTAATCCACATAACGTAGCAATGGCAGAAACAGCAGCCATCTTGTGCACTAGACTCAGCCCAGAAGTGCTGACCTGAAAGGAAGAGGGAAATGTAAATACAGACAATCATTAGCATGATCACCATAATCTTCTCGGACAGCTTCAGAGTGCCTCGGATAAGGATCCTGTGAAACTGAGGTTCATGTTACCACAGATTTTCAAGCTCAGAGTTTTTTCTGTCCACTTTGCCACCCTGTGTAATGCAGAGTGTCTGTGCACTGATGTAACTCTCCCTTTCTGTCCTCTCCCCAAAATAACTGGGATTAATCAGATGGAATTGTTACATCCCATTTTGATTCCAGGAGAAAACAACACAGACTGAGGAGAATCCTTAGTGTTATGGTGTACGGTTGTCTCTCTGCAGTGGTGCAGAGTGGATCAGAAGAGTTGGGATGTTATATTCATGGTGTTAATGTACCAGCTGCCTGCAACAGTGACAAGAACACCTGACTAATGGTCTGTTTCTTGGGATATCAATAGTTTTAAGACTAAAGTGGAGGTATGGCCTAGGGGTGAAAAAATAGACCGTTCAAGCACCTGCTTAATTCTGTATCTCCATCCATGCACCTGGTTAGTTTTCTCTGTTGCCATGAATTCAACATTTAAAAAAAGCTGATTGGCAAAGCATGAGCTAAAACACTTTTCCATAATGGCTCACGTATCCTTCCACAATTAGTAAAATGAAAGAGTTGATGATTATGTTCAACCAGCAGTACAAGAAAAGCCAAAAATAAGATTTTGCTTAAATTTGTTTTTCCCAGCCTGGACTCCAAATTGTTACCTGGTTTCATGAATGCATTTGTCCCAGAGTGATCTTTGTGCAAACCTCATCCCTGTCTGAAAGGCTAGGTGCATAAAGAGATGCAATAGCTGCAGAAATGTCCTCTTGGAAACCAGAGTGCTCTGTATAGTACTTGTGAGGACGTAGAGATTTCTTTGAAGGTTATTTTTTCCTACACTGAATAACACAAGAAATTAAGATAGAAAATAACTTATTCTAATTCCCATGCCCTAAGGGAGAGGATGGGACAGGGTTTAAGATAAAGACTGACTGTTCTCCGTTTTCCAAGAGTCCCAGACTGGAGGGGGGATTTACACTGATGCTGTGTCCCATCTGTTGAAACACGTAGCACGCCATTTGATTTTAACTGTTTAAGGTTTTAACAAACCTTAGTGTCTTCCATCTGTCCTTTTCAATGTGATTCTCAGGACTTTCGCTCTCATAGGAAGCCAAGTAAAGTGCTACAATTAGAAGCAAATACATTATGTTAGGCCTACTGGCATTTTAAAATTTGCTCTTCCTGGAAAGTGGACTGAAGTGAAATGAAGCAGGCTTGTATTATCCAACCCTCAGATTAGGGCTCCAGAATCCCACTAGGAAGTATAGCATTGCTTATAATTACATCCAGACAATACTAACAAACAATGCATGAGAACAAAAACTACCCTGAGGGAGGAAAAAAACAACTAGTGAAAACTCAAAAGCATAAGAGTGGAAGAAAACACTCAAAAGAAAAAAACTGAACTCAGAGACATGGTGCTTTGTAAGCAAATAGCAAAGTCCCCATTTTCTTTCTCAAGCAGCAACCTTTACCGTAAGGCATCCTGAAAGTCGATATAAATACACTTCAGATTATATTTATGTGGACCACATACCAAATAATTTTTTTTTCATTCAATTTCAGAGAAAAAGATAATGTCAATTCTCACACACCACGTGCACATAGAAAGAAAAATCTTATTCTCTCTCACATTTTCAAGGGAGAAGCAATTTTTACTTGCCAGACAGAGATGTCTCAGGACTAAGTCTTCCTTTACTGTGAGGAAGCAACACCTTAACATGCAGAGAGACTAAGCAGTAGCCAGTGACACCAGACCCGCAGGAAGTCCAGAGCTCCTTACCATCATCACTGAAGACTGGGACAGTAAGCAAGTACTGTAGAATTTTCCGATTCCTTTCAAAAGGACATTCCACTTGCTTCCATGTCATAAATTCACTGACTTGTTTTGCCAGTTCCCAAAATTTCTGTCAGCATAGAAAACAGAATAAATGCTATATATTGAACAGTACTATTTACCCTGAACATTTTTTAAAAAGAGAGCGAGAACTTGGCTTCAAGTCCAAGGCTTGGAATCTCCCTGGCTAGAATTGAACATGATCTGACTCAACAACTGAGCTTCTAACTTTTGCATTTCTGTTTCAAACCAGGATGACTTCCCACTCCTCCACCCTGGTAAAATTGTTGTTATTTACGAATATAAATAGTAGATCATGACCTGCACTCAGTTTCTTTTCAAGGAGATGATTACACTCCTTATGACCAACTTCTCAGTTTGATGATGCCCGTGCTTGTTTGTTTCGCAATAAAATACTTAGTAATTTTCACATAAAAAGTCTCTAGATGTTTAATACTGGCATTTCAAATTCCAGATGTTCCATTTTAGTTAGTTAATCTGAAATGCTCATTTTTCTCACTGGAAATTTATGCCAAAAAATAAACATTCTTCCTGTAGTTTGTTGATGTCATTAATTGATAAACTCGTTCAACTGAAGTTTAACATGCCTCAAGTGCTTGTGGATTCCTTGAGTAAAAGGACGTTCCAGATCATCACATAATCTAGCTTTAGAACCAGGCTAATTCAGGCCAGCAACTACAAGTGAAATGTACTGTAATTTTGCATGAGTGACCCAGGCTTCTTGAAAGCTGAAAGCACCGGAAAACAAATCATTGGGTAATCCACAGTGTCAGATAACAAGCATGACACTGGAGGCAGAAGAACTACTGAAAGATAAGGGACTCAAAACTCCTTCACTGCTGCTCTATCACATGTTTCTTCAGAGGCAATCTATGACTTACATATAGGAAAATACTATATATCTTGACAAAGGATGAACTCACCTTTTACATGTGGAATTCAAAAAGAAGCTCTAAAATACTAATTGGAATGAATTTGTCATTAAGTATAACAAACCTCTGAGTTGAAATGTTTAGATGAATTTGAGCACTGGGAAAAAGTTCAGATCTTTTTCCACCACTAAAAAATTGTGAATATCGAAAGGGTTTCTATAAACCTTCCACCTTCAATGTAACTGCTTTTTCCTGACTATCTCCCAGCTCCTCTGAGAAGTAACAGATACACTCAAATTCCACTCTAATTTTGCTCTCCCAGAATCCAGTGGAAGCTGAACTGCTTTAGTTTTCTGTTAAAGGGGCTGACCCATATCAATACCCCACTCAGTGCTCTACTTACTTCAAAATTGACATGACCATTTGGAAGACGACTGGCACAACCCTCATTGAGGAAGTAAATATCTTTGATCAAGAGACTGAAGAAAGGTATTACGATCTAAGGAAAGAACAACAATATTCTCAGTCTGGTCCTAAATCAAGACATAATGCTCTATAGAGGAAAACAGAAGGAAATCAGGTGGTACAAAAGGCAAGCAAGGTATCAAAGGACTAAGATCTGCATGATATCTCTCTCACTACACAGATATTTTGCATTCACTACATTTCAAAATAAATTACATTTCTCTAGAAAGAAAGTCCTCCCTTGAATGGTAAGCTAATTCCTATAGTTTTGTTTCCAGTTTTGTGCCAAACTGCTTCCATTACCTTGAACTCTTCTTCGCATGTAGCTCCCTCAAGGTCACAATTAAAGTACCAAAGGCACTCCATTGCTTGTCAACTGTGCCTGTGAGGTGTGTTTAGAACAACAATATGCCTAACTCATTTCATTTCAATGTTATGTTCCTCTTGTTTTCACTTTCTCATTCTTCCTTAGAGATTCCAGAACATAAGACCTCAGAGGTGCCTACTTCTTACATGCAATTCCTGCAGGGTATCTTTTAGTACAGTTCTCCCTCTTGACAGGGACTTGCCTGGTAAATGATGGGAGATGCATGTTAAAGCACAGCATGAAAAATTTGAGGCTAGCAGCACAAATGGCTTTCAAACTACAATTCCCTGAGCTCATGCAAGAAATTGGACCTTGGCACTGACTGGCTCAAAACAAAGCATTTCCTGCCAACTGAAAAAATCGAAGTATTTTTATTTGGAGAATGCTAGAACATTCTTACATTCTTAAAATGACTGTATTTTAATTTGCATCCTACAAAAATTTTCACAGCTGGACATCCTTGTTGCAACTGGGGATAAAACAAATGTAACATCACTTGGAAGGCTTCGCTGCACCATTTCAGTATCTGCAAGTTCTTTCTTTGAAGTCTTAAAACTCACCTTTCCCTGAAAAGAATCATTTTACATTTAATCTTCTGGTACTTTGAATGATATGTGAACAGATCCTTAGGACTCAAAAAGCCCCACCCTGTTTTTGTTTACATATGTGTAACAACAATATAGACCAGCAGACTGCACATAGATTTGCTTCATCCTGCCTAGTAGTTTATTCTATAAGCACCAAGATCAGGTGCAGCATGAACTCCTAATATTATAAGCAGTCGATGAGTAATTGCTTCTAAGTGGGGAGTGGCTGGGAAACTAGTTGGCTCCTTTCCACAAGAACTACAACTGAGATTCTGCATTAATGTGTGACCAAATCCAGTTTATTGCTCAAAAACTAATTTATTTTAAAGAGTAAAGAAAGTTGCCATCTCTATTAATGCATAGTTCATAGCCACTTTTGTATGTGGAAGGTGGATTTTAACCCACTGCGTTACACAAACGCCTGATTCATGGCACTATTTCCACTAAAAAACTCCAGAGTATATTTAAAACTCATCTAAAGACTGTACACAGGAAGGGGACTCCACAGAGTCTAGGCAGCAGCTCTGTCTAGATTTGAGTTTTAGAATACCTTTTCTGAGTAAGTTTTACAGCTTTTCCACCCTAAACCATAAACCACTTAAAATTGAGCACAAGTAGCAGCTATAAGAACAAATTACTAGCAACCTCATTTCAATCCTTAACCTTTCCATCTGTATTACTGGTTTGTGGGATAAAGTTCTCTGCCAAAAAAGAAATGAGCTCAGGCTATGTACTTATTTTATTTAAATAATCAAAGCAATTACTTAACTTTTGCAGCTTTCAGTCAGCACCAAACTGAACTGGCAGCCGCAAGTTGATAATTTTCATTGAGCCACCTGGTTTCCTCAAATATTCCATTTACTTTCTGGGTAGCTTACAGGTAGTATTTAGACATTGCCAGTAAAGAAGGATTCAGTTTTGAGGCTTTTTATTCTTTTTAAAAGCCCATCAGGTGTAGAGTTGCTGAGAATCAGACAAAAGCTTACCGTGCAACTTAAACACATTTCATTTTTGCCCACTGCCAAGTCATTTGTAAACACACCTTCTCCCTGTTGCTATGAGCTGTCAAGGACCTTTGAGTGGCTCCACGTAGGGCAGTTCGGTAATTATAGAAGTTGCTAGAAGGGTCCATCTGATGCTACAAAGCATGAAAAAATGTAAATAATGAGCCAGTGTCATCACCACACACAATTCTTTTTTGCTTGAGCAACTATTTTAAAAAGCAAAAGGCCTGCTGAATAGCACCACAAATACAGCCTTTTAAAGGACTGCAATATCTCTTTATCTGTTTATTTGATCAGAAAAGAACCTTGCTTTAAAAAATGTTCACTCAGCACAACAAGGGATCCAAAACAAGTCAGGGGCAGGAAAGCAAAGGCAGGCTTCACGGACCTTCTTTCTCTCTCCACGAAGAAGGCAGCTCAGCTTTAATTCAAAAACCAAAATCATGAAACTGAGACAACAATGGGTCTTCGCACTAATATTCTGCTCTTCCTAGTATGCAAGTTTCTCAGAGCTGGTTCAGTTGCAATGGCGAAGTAAGATCAGACACCTAAAGCTGTTAGTGTCCTCACCTCATTACTCCAAGACTGACTGTTGCACCTCAATGACTAGGATGACTGCATGGCTCACAAAGCGTGTCCTTAACCAGCAAAGTCCAGCCTGCATAACAAGGTCGAATGAAATAGGGCTGCAATCTTAAGAGCAACTTCCTGAGCTGTGCAGCCACCCTTGACACAAGGAAGGCTACTTCCCACCCAAGGGTGGGGGAAGAAAGTGTGAGGTGGCTAGAGCTATCCAGTTTTAATCTGTTGTCATAACACAAGTCAAATCTCCTGGTGATATTAGTAAGCATTTCATGCTTGTGTGAAGTACAAAACATTACATTTTCTTTTTCTTACTAATAAATAACATGAATTAACAGATTGTCATTTACAGCAGGATATTTAACTTGTTGGTAAACAATCTGTTGGATAAATCACAAACTCATACACTGCTGCACCTACATGATCTTTGACAAAGGTCTCTACTACCTGAAGGTAATCGGCAATCAATTAGTTCAAGACAAATTTCTCTGAAAGGGCAAGGCAGCCACAGTACAGCTCAACCTGACTTTCAAAGGCAGAACTGCATTAGGTCAATCCACACCATCCCTCTCAAATACTTGTCCTTTTCAAGAGGTTACCTACATTTTTATTTTTATTTTTATTTTTTTAATAATTCTTAGGAGGTGGGTTTGGGAATTAAAAAAATCCAAAACACAAAACTTCAATTTTCTTCCTCTGAATCAAAAGAGCACAAGTTGGCCGAACAATTCTTATTACATCTTCTAGAATTTCTATTAAGTGCACAAACACACTAAGTTAAACATGTCACAATGAAGCCAAACTTGCATTTTAGAGCAGTTAAAAGTAAAATGCTGTTAACAGCCCTGTGTTGAAATATTAGCCAAACTTACCTCAAGAATATAAAATTTGGCTGTCTTCACTTTTGCCCAAGTTTTCTTTAGCCGAGACACAGGACTCATGTTCATGCCAGCTTGATATAAAAGAGAGAAATTGTTGGAGTATTTTTAAAAAAAATCTTTCAAGTAGCTAAGGCTAGTAAGTATTTCTAAAGCAAAGGAGCTATTAACAATAATAAATATTTTCAACAGAGCTACTCAGAAATCAGACTCATAATTTTCTTGAAATTCCAATGTTAAAAACAACTTTGGAAACAAAATCAACATCTCTTACACAATGAAAGCTCTAAAAAAATGCCATGATATTATTTCATGTGGTTTTGATAAAACATTAACATACAGTAGAAAAGAGCAAAGGAGTTTTCTCAACACCACCTCTTACATATTTCATTGAAAACTACACATCTCTATGAAGTTTTCACATTTAAAATAAAAAAAATATTCCCGATATTTTCCTATCAGATACAAAAGAGGTGGAATTTTTAAACCACTAGGATATTTATAGTGTGATAGAAACTATGGAAGACATCAATCCTCCATATTACAGGAAAAGTTTCTATTCCAATTTAGCACTAAAGTTGGTTTCAAAAGGTGGGGATTTAGATCTCTGAACAGTTGCAATGAAAACTTTGTTTTTCTCTAATTTACACTATTGCAGTAAATAATTTCTTACACACATAACACTACAATAACATTGAAAAATTCTCCACCACTTCCCCTCCCAACTTCACATTGCTGTGCATGCTAAGCAGCAGACTTTCGTACAAAGCACTGTGCTTCCTTTTTCCAGATTCAAACAGGGACAAAATGTCTCAGGACACATACTTACAAATAATAGCCATTAAGGAGTTAAAGTTGCCAATGTTAAAACATTCGCGTGCCACATCAATGAAATATTCTATCACTCTTGCTCTGTGCTTTTTCTTCACAGGCTGCAAAAGATGTCTTTGGAGTGTTATGCTTAGCAGGAAACAGAACACTGTGACCCATCCCCAAAAGAAACACCACCCCTGTTAAAAGTCTTTTCCATATGTACCACAACTTCACACTATGCTTTACATGTAGAAGAAGCCACACTATTGTGCTCAAAAGCCCTCAGGACAGCAAAGACAACCCAGACACTGGACAAATAGACAGCAAGGACAACAGGTAAAGAGGGTCTGCTAAGAATCATAGAATCATTTAGGTTTGAAAAGACCTTTAAGATCATTGAGTCCAACCATAAACCTAACACTGCCAAGTCCACCACAAAACCATGTCCCTAAGCACCACATCTACACATCTTTTAAATAGCTCCAGGGACGGTGACTCAACCATTTCCCTGGGCAGTCTGTTTGGGCAGCTTGGCAACCCTTTCGGTGCAGAAATTTTTCCTAATATCCAATCTAAACTTCCCCTGGTGCAATTTGAGGCCATTTCCTCTCATCCTATTGCTGGTTACTTGGGAGAAGAGACCCACACCCACCTCACTACAACCTCCTTTCAGGCAGTTGTAGAGAACTATAAGGTCACCCCTCAGCCTCCTCTTCTCCCAGCTACATAACCTCAGTTCCCTCAGCTGCTCCTCATAAGACTTGTGCTCCAGACCCTTCCCCAGCTTCATTGCCCTTCTCTGGCCAAGCTCCAGCACCTCAACATCCTTCTTGTAGGGAGGGACCCAAAACTGAATACAGTGTTCGAGGTGCGGTCTCACTGCCAAGTACAGGGGAATGGTCACTTCCCTAGTCCTGCTGGCCACACTATTTCTGATACAAGCCAGGATGCTGTTGGCCTTCTTGGCCACCTGGGCACCCTGCCAACTCGTATTGAGCCAGCTGTCGACCAAAACCCCAAGGTCCTTTTCTACCGGGCAGCTCTC